CAAGAACAGCTCCCTGGGTCACCACTGCTCTGCCTTACTTCTACGAAGGAGGTTGCTGGGAGAGGGCATGCTCCAAGTATGTTGCAATGTTGGTCGCCTATGGCACAGCTTAAACTTCCTTCAGCAGCAGGTGGCTGTGCACTGCTTGATCTGCTGTACAGAGGAGGTGGTGTGTTTCTCTGGGCTTCCCTGAAGTACATGGATTCAGTGTGTTTAGCATTGTATGTTATAACATCAGTTAAGGAAGGTAAATCAGAACTGTGTCGGTAATAAGACAAGGAGACATGATTGAGCTAATAGGAATTTAAAAAATTGAAGGTTTGGTTTCAGTTGATTTGTCACTACTTAATCTTCTTGTGTTTGCTTATTGTTTAGTTCTTACGATTGTTGTCATTTTTGCTTATGTGTTGTTCCTCTGTTGAATGCTTGAAAAGGAGGGATGGTGTCCTTGCTAATTTTTATTATTATTCATACATTATCTGGAGGTATCCTGAAGTTTGAATTTAAGTTCTTTGCTTCTTGATGAACTGAACTGCTGGGGGAAGGAAAAAAAGTAAACTAAAATATGTAGTGAAACTATAGAACACCTATCTTTGTGATTCTGTCGTTAGAGAACTCTTTAAAGTGATGCAAAAGAGGAAATCCAGGCCTTGTCATAGGTTCTGAAGTGAAGACGACACTATGAAGGTATCTTGTATAATCTTAATTTTGCTTCTGACTAGGAAGTTGAGTGACCTTTGTTAAGATGGTTAAAATCTCTGGCTTTGGGGTACTTCTAGAAAGATAACTGGCATAGTGGTTATTGTGGCTCTGAATAAATAAAGCTTACTGGTATATTGCTCCCTGCTCTTAAAATGTTATGTTATTCATCCTTTCTTTGCAGCTGGTTGGACACAAGCAACAAATAACCACTTGCAAAGCATTTGGTTCTTTCATTGGGCTTTTAAGGACTACTTCTGTTCTCTGAGGTATTTCATTTAGCTGTGTTTGGAAAAGATAGCTCAGTTATTTTAGAACCTGGTTGCTAGAGGGAGGGATTATCCCACCATTCCTGCTTCTAAACACGTGTTTTTATCCCCTGCCTTGTACTGGCACTTGCCAGTAGAAATGAGAGGAAGGGAGCAGGGTTGCCATGTGATGTCACAGCTCACTGTTACATTGGCTTGCATGGGAGACTGTGGTCCTATGCAGTGCATAGTGGTAGTTCTATCCCTGTGGTAGGAACTGTGGAAATGCCACTGTGGTTTTGTTCCAAGATGTGCACTATTATACATATAACAAAACCAGAATACGAGTTACCGTTAATTGTAATAGATGCCTGCAGCTTGCACTCCGTTACTGGACTCATTTGAGTCCCCTCCTAATGTCTTAAGTTGGGGAGTTGAGGCATGGGTTTACTCTACGAGCTCTACCTGGTTCATAGCTTCCCTCCCATTCTCCTTCCCCTTCCCTAGCTTTTATTGCCAAATCTGATGCTATACAATATGGAATATCCTTTGGTTGGTTGAGGTCAGCTGCCATGATCTCCGCCTCTCGAGCACCCTCAGCCTTCTGGCTGTGGGGGGTCCATGAGTACCAGGTGCTGTGCCGGCGCTGCTCAGCCATAGCCAAGCCATCACTGTGCTGTCTGTGCAGAATGCCGCTCTGTGGGCTGCTGTGGGGAATGCTCACTCCATCCCAGCAAGACCCAAGCATCAGTCTTGTGTTTACATTCTTAACAGTGTTTTTCCTCTTCTTTTTTTCAGTCCCGACTGACTTCTTGTCTGGATTAATTCTGTTACTTAATGATTGTGGATTTTTTGGTAATTGTTCATGAAAACTATTTTTAAAAATGAACTGTACTTCATATCACATATTGTTCTAGGGTTGGGAGAGTCATTGGAATGGCTGGAAAGTGTTGGGATGGAGGGCAGGAGTTCTTTGAGCTGTGGGCTGCTGGAAGAATGGTCTTCCTCTAGTTCCTGAAAGCTGTACAGGGAAACAAGCATTCCTGGGGATGAGGTTAGGAAGCATATTTTTTTTCTTCTACTGTGAATTACCATTACAAGGCACAGTACAGAACAACCATAATTGGAATTACTGCACTTGCTTTGAATAACCACTGTCCAGACCAACAAAGAGCTGAACTTGCAGTCTCATGATCATCATGCTGTGTGCATGCTCTTACCCTGATGGGCTGGTTAGCATGAATAGGTCGTGTTACAGTAAGTATTTCCTTTTGCTCATCCCAGTTTGTATTGTTTGGAAACATCCTGCTTGCCTTAAGGACTCTGATCTGTGGGTTCAGTTCCGTTGTATGTTTTCAGTTTATACATTTAGAAGCAAAAGTTACAGGGTTCAGTCTCTGCTTTCTGAATAAGGCTGATCTGTAACTCTGCAGCTGGTCTAAATTTCAAGCTATCTTTGTATTTGGACAGGTTATTGCAGGATGACAGGTTACCATATGTCAGCTGATCTGTGGTATCTGATGCACCGTAATTGTTCATGTGTATGCTCTTAGCCTGTGGCAAATGGAAGGTAATTTGAGTTAGCTTGACCCTCTTTCATTACGCTCTTTCAAGGCACTCCCTTCTCCACATGGATTGTTAAACCTGCTAGAGTGCCTTGGCTAAAAAATAATCCAGTTTCTGTCTCCAAGCTAGTTGTGTGTATCTTTGTAGTAGCGAGATGAGGGCTTTCCCATCATTTGCTGTATTGTTGCTGTTTTGAGACAATACTTGTTGAAGGAATTATTACTACTCAGATATTACCCTGAAAATCAATCAGATGTTGTTAATTACTAGCTATGTTTTTCTTTTGGGAAAACTTATTAAAGCTTTATGAGCACACTGTAAAACACAACAGTGCATGGGTTGTTCTGCAGTATCTCAGTATACTTGTATTTGCAGAGGTGGGTTTTACTTAGACTTCTTTTGGAAGATGGTTGGTAATTGTGATCATTCTAATACTGCTGCAGTAGTGCTTTTTGCATGTTCTGATTCAAAGTTCACTGAAATCCTGGCTGTTTGGTAGGTTGTCACTGACCACAAAATGGCACCTGACTTCATTCTGAATTGGCATGAAACATAAAACAATCAACTTTTTTTCTCAGTGCTTAGTTGTTATATGAACACTGAGTTTGCAACAATGAATACATAGCTATCCAACCTACTTCATCGGTAATTATTAAGAATATGAAATACTACTGAAACATGCATGGGCCAAAAAGCTTCTCAGCACTTAGGCGTTTTCCCCTTTTCCCCCAGGCAAATCCCACCAGTTTACTACTGCACTGCTGACCCTATGTGTAATGTGTATTTCAAATGAAGCTTCCTTCCCACTTCTCATTGCTATCTAGTCAATGAGAATTTCTGGAGGGTAGTAGGTAAAAGGTATAGTTGCTAAGGGCTTTTTTTTTTTTTCCTTGTCCGTGGGGAAAATGAGCAGAAAAGTGCATCTCCTTACTTGGGGTTCAGTCTTCTGAAGATGCAGTAGGCCTCGGTGCTGAGTGAAGTCCTCTGAGAAACAGATAGTTGTGAAGGTGATCTATCAGCATAACTTCAGATTAGGCTGTGGTTGGCTACAGAAACTTCATACTGCAGAAGTACAGCAACACTTCTGTTACAATCATTTTAACGTGCAAAAAATTTAATTGTTTTACTAAGAACTGAAGACAAAATGTATACTTTTTAGCTAAATAAGTATTTTGTGACTACCATGAAAGAAAAAGACTTAAGATTCCATAATAGGTCATCAGTTTGAACTGTAAGTAGTAACCATTATTTGCTGTTTCCTTTATTTGGTGCCATTTTGAAGGTGACTAGACAACAGCTTTAGATGAATGTGACTCTTCATTTTTTCTCTGAAGGTGGTAAGATCTGTGATCATCATCCTCTTGGCAAAATGTTCTGTGTCTCTACCTCAAACAGTTATTCAAGATCAGTTATTCAAAATAAACCAGAGTTTACTCTGGAATTTCACTTGCACTGTTATCTAACCTGTAGTGACTCTGACTGTCCCTGTTGAGATTGCTGATAGCAGCAGAAGGTGGCTGAGCTCCAGGAAGCTGCAGAGCTGAAGGTCTCTAAGGTGGCTGCAGTAAGTGCAAATAAGTGCAAATGAGTAGTGTGTTCCATTACAGAACAGCCATTTGGTTCTGATCCATTTGGTGCTTCCTCTCCTGCTCCATTCTTAGCTCTGCAAAGATGCGTTGTAATGAGGCCTTTAAGGCATATGCTTCAGGGCATTGCTAAGAGAACCTCCCTCAATGCAAATTGAGAAGCTGTTTGGCTGGCTGAACATCAGTGAGAAGGCAGGAAATGAATGGTGTGAGCTACTGTTGTAGTCTGGATGGTTAGAGGAGGAATTAGTATGGTTGTGATAAAGGGCGATAGCTGAATGGCTTCACGTGGCCTTCAGTGATGAGTTTAGACCTCTTGTGTCTTGCCAGACTTTTAGTATCAGCAGCTCCTGATCAATAATCTGTTAACATACTTGACAGTATCAGTGTGGATGTTTGCATTGGTCAAATTTTACAGTAAATTAAAAGACCCCAGCTAGGTTCTCTGAGTGCCCAATGAATTCTGTTCTGGAGATAAAGTCATCATAATACATGCAGTGTGCTGCAGCATTTCCCATTTTGTTTAAGTGACTGTTGACAGTCTGAACTTGGATCAAAATCATTTTTAATGTGAATGGGAAATAATGCTTTTTGACAACTCTCATCTAAACCTATTTTTCTTTCTTAAATGTAGCAGAAGAGGTTAAAAATGCAAAGTTGTATACAAAAGAAACTCAATATATATCTTCAAATGAAAATATAGTGGCCATATTCTTGTTGAATGGAGCACTTTATATTCTGGGGACTTCTTTAGTATTGCTCTTAATTTTAGCTTCCATAATTGGAATGAAAATAAAAAGCAATTATAAAGGAAATGTTAACTTGTGAAAATCTGGAAAATGTGTCAAAAATAAAAATGGGAAAATGTTTTTCAACAATTTTATTTGAAATTTTCAATATTGATACGATGGATTAGTCCTTTTAAGTTAATTTTTTTTTGCATTCACTTCATGGTTTTTTTCTGTCTTGTTTTCTGGGTTACTTTTTCCAATAAACTAGAGATTTGAGCGTACACTCTGCTGTGGGTTGCTTCAACACCATTTAATATAGTGGAAGTTAAAAATAGATTGTGTATGGCAAAATCATGATTTTTAACTGTTTGAAAGATATACCAAGCAGTACCTGCCATCCGCTGATGCTTTAAGAATAGATTAATTATCATCTTCTTGGTCAGACTGTGACAGTCTGCATAGCTTGCATCATTTATTTCTGTCTCCTTAATGCCCGAGATCATAAAGAGCACTATGAGCTGCCAGTGTATCTTTTCATATGCAAAATCTGAAGCATTATACAATCAGATGAGTAGTGGCTGAAACACTTAGTGAGTTGGCACAATGATTTTCAGGCTCAGTATACTTTGGATGCTGCCCTCTTTTTCACCCTTTCCAGCAAGATTGGACCTCCAGCGTTGGCAAACAACAGACACAGTCCACCAAAGCTCTGCTCTAAGGGCTGGGGAGGGCAGACTTTTTCAACTTTTCATGTAACTTGAGTGGTGGAAGTAATTGCTGCTTTCATAATGAACAAGTTTTACGTAGCAGGAGGAAACTGAAGATTTCATCTGTGTCAGTATCTTTGTGACGTTCCAATGCCAGTGCAGTCAGTAAAGTTCTGCCATACGTCTGGGGTGTTAAACGTTGACTATGATTTTTCTTAATGCTTGTTTATAGTGTCCTGTTGGGAGAAAGGATAATATTTGCAGTAATAAAAAATACTGTGTGTGCATTATGGTGGCTGGGGAACTGCTTGAGCCTCGTTACTTCATCTTTCCTAAGATTTATGGGATGTAAAGAAGGTATCTGTCTTGTTTTGTTGCCTCCTCTGGACCCCAGTTCTGTACTTTGCAGAAGAGGGCAAACATGTTTCAGCAAACTAATTTATTTTTTTTCATCTTTGATTACAGGATTTAAGTTTTAATTCCTGTAGCTTCTGAAATCAAAATGTGTTTTGAGAAGGAGAGAAAAAGGTATAGATCAGAATATCAAAATCACAGAGGTTAGTAGTGTCCAAAAATCCTGTTTGTACTGTTCTTGTGGATCAGTTTAAAAAATATATACATGTGATCCTTTTTTTATAAATACACATAGGTGATAAATTTCCTAAATTTCATCCCAAGGCAAGCATCCCTCTGTCTGAACCTAGCTGGTAGTCTCCCTATGTAGATGAAAATTTCTTTCAGTGAGAGCCTTAATGTGATCATAGGGGTTTGTTCAAACTAAGTAAAAAGTTGGTTTTTTTTTCCTCTTAGAATTGAGATTCATTCGTGCATTTGTGCATATTCAACTTTTTCTGAAAAGCAGGAGGGGTGATTCAGTGGTGGTTTCCTGTCAGTAGCTCCAAAAGTAGTAATGCAGTAGATGGAGCTAGGATAAGGGATAGTTCCTAGTCCAGGAGGTTCCTGACTCCTCGCAGAAGTTTTTTTTTTTAAGTAAGTTCTTAATGTATACCATAAGGAACTGTTCAGGGATTCAGTGTGGGGCAATGTTTCTTATAACCTCTGTAAAAAAAAAAAAAAAAAAAAGAGTGGGATAATTGTGACCTATGGTAATTTCAGATACAGGTAAGAAATCACCTTGTTTGGATGTTTGTCATGCACTTGTGCCTTGTACATAGTCTTCCAGTTGTTCTGTAGCTGCCATCATTAGATGCCTGTGATGCAATGAAGTGCCATTGCTCTGACTTCAGCAGCAGAAAGCAAAAGCAGTAAGAAATGTCCCAACTTGCCCAGAGTCAGCAGGGAAGTCTGTTGGCATGGCCTTATTGGCTTAAGCAGTCTGATTCAGAATGCCACCAAAAGTGATTTAGTGCTTTGTTTCTGCTTTCCGTTCTTCATGGATTCTAGTGTCAGTGCATCTGTACAGACTCTTTATGTTCTATAAGAGAGCTGGTGGGAAAAGCCCTGTTCTGTCTTTTCTGGTAGCAGTGTCATCCTAAACTGATTTCCCTTGATTATGAATCGCATCCTTGGCAGAGCACAGCACTGAGCTTGATGCTTTAAGGCTCTTGAAGTTGATATTGTAGTTTGGAAATTACGCTGCTTCTCTTGGTTCAGTACCTGTCTTAGTGCTCAGCTTGTCCCAGGATACAAAATCAGATGGGAAGAGGGGGTGATTTGTCCCATTCCCAGCTGATCCCTGTTCAAGGCAAGGATCACTGAACGGCTCCAAATCTGGTTGTGATGGTGCTTTGATCTTTCAGGGCAGCATATTAAGGTAAGGGGGGATTGCAGTTGGGTTGTTTAATTATGCTAGGCTGAAACCTGGAGCTGCTCTTGAATTGCCAGGAGCTGTACGGCCATCTGTCATTGGGGTAACAACTTGTATTTGAAGGGGCAGCTGGCAGGGTTGAGGCTTGCTTCAGCTGGCAGACTTTTTTAATTTGCCACTACATGTCAGTCAGAGCCCTTGTTTGTGAGTAAGGAAGAGAGTAGGGGTTGCCTTAATTGTTTGTGCAATTAATTTAAAATCCCGAGAGGAAAAGTGGGCATTTCTGCGAGAATAAATTAAATTCATATAATGTGCATTCTGTCTTCTTACAGGCTGCTTTTTGCAGTTCTAACATGTAACAATCATGACAGTTGTCAAGGCATAGGTGTATTTCTGGGCGCACTGAGCCGTACATATGGTGCAAGAAAATTGTATTCTTACTGCAAGTGTTATTTGTGAAGGCACAAAGACTGAAGGAAATACATTCAGACTCGAGCTAGAGAAAGCATCATGTGAAAAATTCAGACACTGAGATTTTGCACTAGTTCTTAAGATAACTGTTTCTGATAGGTTTTTTACAGGTTTCCGAGTAAGGGCGTGTGCCTGTGCCTTCCTAAGGGTGCTAATCAGGGTTGCACATGCTGCTGTGAATCGAGAGGAAAAAGCACTGATGACTTCACTTGATCTGAGAATAACTGGGTGGCTTATGAAAGGTAACTGGTGCACAATGGATAATCGGAGAACACTTCTCCCTACTTTTCTAGGATGTCCAGCAGAGGACATGTCTATTAAAGGGAACACATCTAATGTTTTTACCAGCACATAACCTATATACATTTTGTAGGTCTCAGAATCTATCTCAGGGTTGACTGTGCATTTACAGTGTCTAGAAATAACTGGTGGGGCCCACAGGCTGAGTGTGGAGCCTTCTAAACACACAGTAGGACATGTCTGGAGCACCTCCTCCTTGGTGTATGTAACTCAGGGAACAAACAGTCTGGAATCAAACCTTTTGTACAGCTGTCCACCTAAATCATGTCATTTGGTAGGCAAAAGCAAATTTTTGACAACTTTTTTTTTTCTTTCGGGTGTAGTGGAAATATTTGTCTTGAGTGATTGCCTCAAGAATGCCCAGGAAATGAAAGTTAATTCATTTGATTTTTGTTGATATTTAAAAACAAAACAAAAAATATTATAGTAAACTGAAGAAAAATGGCAGTTGTAATTACTGGAAAAGTTAGTGATAAATAATTCTTTTCCCATACTGGCAAAATTTAGGTCAGTTCCACTTTCAAAATGATTTTTAGTCTAATGTTTCTAATAAATTACTCACCAGATGTATAGGCCAGCTTTTCACATGCTCACATCCATGAGTTAGTTGCCTTGAATTTGATCTTTGTATTCCCATACCATGATCCCTAAAAGATGTATTACCAACAGTTTTGTTGGCAAGCATGCTATCATGTATGAGGCTGTCCCACTGAGTGTGTCAGGGAAGAGGAAAAGCTGTGGAGTCCTGGTGTATTCCTATGGATTTTAAATGGCATTTAACTTCTGTTTTATGCGCTGGCCTCTTGTCTCTGTCATTTATTGTGATAAGAGGGGAGAATTTGGTGATGGCACAATCTTTTCTTTCCCCTCTTTTCATCCCTAGCCTTTTCTTTCCTGGGAATTTGGAGCTATTCAGTCTTTACAGTGAGCACAAGTTCACAGCAGGGTTTCACTTTGTAGAAGATGAAAAATTCATTTTGAACTGTTCTTTACTCAAGCATCTGCAGTTCTGTGTTTGTCTGCTAAGGGCATCAAAAAAAGGTTTCCTGTTTTGTTTTTGCTCTGTGTTTGTATTGATTATTTTGTTTCTGCATTGATTCTAGAAGTCTTTAGCTTTGTATGATTCTCTTCCATGCTAGCCACTTTCATAGAATCACAGGATGGCTTGGGTTGGAGGCGACCCTAAAACCCACCCAGCCCCAAACCCTGCTGTAGGCAGGGCTGCCTCCCACCAGCTCAGGCTGCCCAGGGCCCATCCAACCTGGCCTTGGGCACCTCCAGGGATGGGGCACCACAGCTCTGGGCAGCAGTGCCAGGGCCTCACCACCCTTTGACTAAAGAATTTCTTCCTAACATCTAATACAAATCTCCCTTTTTTCTATTTTAAAGCCATTCTGTCTTGTCCTACTCACTATTAGATCATATAGAAAATCAGTCTTCCTCCTATTTATAAGCTCTCTTTAAGTACTGGAAGGCCACACTGAGGTCAGCCAGAGCTGAGCAAGCCCAGTTCCCTCAACTTTTCTTCATAAGACAGGTGTTCTAGCCCTCTGAACATCTTTGTGCCCTACCTTTGGACCTGCTTCAACAGCTCCACATCCTTCACAGCCCCAGGCCTGGGCACAGTACTCCAGATGGGTCTCAAGAGAGCAGAGCGGAGGAGGAAAATCACCTCTGCTGCCACCCCTCTTTGGATGCTGCCCAGGATACAGTTGAGCTTCTGGGTGCAGGTGCACTGCTGGCTCACTTTCATAGCTGAAGGTTTTCAGATCTGTAGCCACAGTCCATTGCTTCCTTTTTCCTAAAGGAAAGCTACTCTCCTTTTTGTTCGTTTTATGAGAATGCAAAAGATAGTTTTAAAATGCTTTCTTTAGCTTAAAAATCTGCCTTAAAAATTTGGGGACAGTACCTCTTGAGTGTGAAATGTAATTAACGCATTCTTCAAATCCTGTTATCTCACAGCTCTTCACCTATTTTTTCATAGGAATGCTGACATTTTCTAATATATGGCACCACCATAGAGTGAATGATTCTAACAGAGTATAGTTGCTAAAAAGTAGCGAGTTTCAGGTCTTTTCCCTCACTGCTGCTCTAGGTCTTGTTAGTGTAGTACTGCTTTGTGTGTGCTAAATTATATGTACACAACAGTTTACTGCCTGGCAGTAAAGCTAGTCTGAGCTCTAAATATCACGTTCCCTCTCCAAAGCTACATGGTTATAAACGTTTAATTGTTGTTTTTTTTTTTCTCACTCTGGTAACTGCTTTTAACTTGTGCATTTAATCCAGAAAATGTTGAATATGTTATTGTTATATGTTTTTCTTTGTACCAGATAGGAACCCCAATACATGTGAATTGCTGCTATGTATGTTTAATTAAAAGTAATGGATGTACATTGCTGAAAGGAATCATCATCCTCCTCCCTATATGCAAAGCCTGAAGTTACTGCTAGTACTAAATCCGGTGGTTGTAACCAGGCTTAAGGACTTTTTTTATGTTATCCTGAAGCATTTCTTATACTCTCAGTCTGCATATGTACCATTTCTATTTAGTGTGAACCGCTGTGTTGCCTACAAATCAGTTAAGCATTAGCATGATGAATAACTTCTACTTAGCACCAGCAGAGCTTGATCGGATGAGGAAGCTGATGACAGGGGGAAGGTGTGAATAATAGTTTCTTCAGCTGAAACTAGAGCAGTTTCAGAACTTCTGGTCAAAAGAAAAGGCTTTTTTCCTGCCGTGTGTGTCTTCACAGACCAGCCTGTAAGTGGAAGGAGATGTAGATGTAGATTTGTACTTCAGCAATTAAGGATGGCTGGGGTAGAGGACAACCAAGTGTAAGTAAGTGTCCTTACTCAGTGTAGATGCCCTTCAGCCTCTTCTGAGCCTTAAAAGAGAGAGTGGCTGAATGTAGGCAATTCAGCCTCAGAGAAGTCTGCTTTGTGGTCAAAACACAGAGCTCACTTGTTGGGTGCGCTCCCAAAGGAGGTTTGAAGGGAACTTCAAGAGAAAAAGGCAGCAAAGATATCTGCAGTGTTTTGTATGGTTACTGATGTGGAGGGTAAGTGTGCTGAGCTTCTGTGAGTAGGAATTGAAGGCAGTATATCTTAGAAATCGCTGGATATACTCTAAAATGTTTTTCTTCTCTGCCTGAATTATCAAAAAAGCAAGTCCTGGCTGAAGAGGTAGCATAGACTGAGGGATTGTGCTGTGAAGTCTTCAGACTCTTAGTGCCTTGTGACTTAAACTTTTAAAAATATTTGGGGAAAACAACTGCAGCAGGTCAGTTTGTGTACAGCTTAGTGCACACCAGAGTCTTCTTTTGCTGCCTTTTTTTTTCCCTGCAAGTGAAGTTTGTAGTCAGAAACACTGAAATTCAAACTTAACAGAAATTTTGTGTTAGATCGTCTTACATGTATTAATAGATTTATAGTGGTAAATATATTTTCCCATATGATTGATATCTAATAACAGCAGATTTCTAAAACAAATAACAACTCTTCTCACAGCTTTCTGTTACAGGACGAGGTAAGCAAAAAATGAAGGAAGTGTATCAAAAGGAAAATGGTGGTGTGGGATTCTTTGTTATTCATACTGGGGCGGTGAGAACAACAACAACAACAAAATGGCCTGGAAAGGGATTTACAGCTCTTGATGAATTAATGCTAGCCATCTCTCCTTAACAGAGGTAGCAAGTTTTTAGAGGCAGTATTTCCTACCAAGGTAGTGTTTTTTGAGCTTGGAAATGAAAAACCAAGTAACCAGCTAACCATAAGACAGCTAACTCACTTGGTGTATTTATAACATCTGGAGCGTAGGACAGATGTTGATATATGGAGGGAAAAGATTCCTGTAGGAAACTTCAGGATTAATTCAGAGTTGTGAGGCCTGTTGCATTGTGAAAGCTATCATTTTGAAGATTTATCCTTAAAAGTCAGTTCTAATAGCTACTCTACACAGAAAAGTTATATCTGAACTAATATTACTTGAATAAAAGCACTGGTATTTTTACTGTTTGTTTATTCTACTGTTATGGAACAGAAACAGTTTTTTTTTTAAGTGAATATTGCTTGTAAATAAACATCTTGAGAATTCAAGCTGACAGAATACATTTTTTGTCAATTTTTAGTGACTGTGTTAAGCATTAATATATCAAAGATGTCTAATATTCTGTGTTGTCAAACAAAATATAATAGAAAACAGTACAAATCTCATTGTACTTGTGGTAAAATATCCTTGATAGATAGCAGAACATTTACATTATACCCATTCTGCTACAACAAAAACAATGAGCAGAAGTCAAGGGATACTATTCTAGATGGTGTGTAATTAACAGTTGATGAGTTTTGTGAGCCTCCTGTTCTAAGTTTGAACTCTGCAGGACTCTGAGAATTATAGATGACTTGGGTCAGAAGGGACCTTAATGATCGTCTAGTTATAGAAAGTCTGTCTAAAATATACAGTCAATTTGTAGACGCTTTATAGAGGTTTTCTTTTTGAAAGAGTTGGACACTCTAGTAAGGCTTCCTTCGAGGCAACTGTCAGTGAAAACCTCTTATCTATAGAAGTGATGGTTAATGTTGGATTGGAACTGAATTGTTGGCATTGACCAGTGTTCTCTGAAGACTGCAGTTCTCCAAGATCAAAACGTGCAGGAAAAGTTGAAAGGACAAGGGCAAGATGAAGTAGGCCCTGACACTTCTCCGTATTTAAGATTTATTTTTATTCCTGTGTAGCATCTATGTGTAGAAATACGTACCTGTTTTTTTATAGAGATCTCAAACTTCCATCAATAAAAGATGGAACCTCCTGCAGGTCCTGTCAGAGCCTGAGTACGTTTGGGGTTTGTTTGTTTTTCCTGGAAATGTTTCTAATAGTGTCTTTTTCCAGAAATGTTCCTCTACACTTTTAAGGAACACATCAGGTATCTCTTCGAGGAAATAC